TGTCCTGCCACCATCGCTAAACTATTAAATTTTTACTAATTTTAGGAAGTTCTCTACTGAAGCAGCACTTATACTTTACAAATAGCACAAGATTCACTGAGACAGTCTCAAACCTGGCTCTGAATATCTCAAATGCTTGCCCTACAACTATAGAGATTGTCTCCATATTGCTATTTTTTTATTTATTCTATCAATTTTCATTCCATCAACAACAGAACATGACTTAAAGTTCAACCAAATACAAGCCTGAGAAATTTCACCCCGCTCCAATTTGAAGTGTCAACTTAAGCCTCATTCTAAACAATACAGAAATGTTGTTAACAAGTAAAAGACAGAACAAGAGTATTTCTCCTGGACAAGGTATAATTATTGAAAACGAAAGACACTTCATAGACTCTTGAACAAAAAGATTTTCATTCACAGCTTTTCTAGCACCCAACAAGAGTGAGATGTGAAATAAACAGAATTCTAATCCAAATTTATAACTTTTGTATAACAGTATATCACTCATTTGGTAAAGCTGACTAATCATGGAGTTCAAATAAATAATTTAATATAGTTATGGAAATGCACAATCCCATCTGTGAACACAAGCAGACTTGAGACAAAGAATAGCTCAGTTTAATGCCACATAATGTGACCAATAATTTTTACATGCTTTTAACAGTACCAAGCATTGTATTTATTTTTTTTAAAGTTGACATTAATTTCTTTGTGTCTTCTCAAAGAATATATGTGTGCATGTGTAACCATATATACATCCATAACTGTGGTTGTAAGTGCCCACATGACAGGCAGTGTTTAGGCCACCTACACTTAAGCATGTACTTCAATATCAGTAACAGGGAGAGGCGGATTTCTCCAAAGAATGGTTCAAAATAATCGAAGTGCAAGACCCCCTAAGCGCATGAAAAACCTGAAGATGTTTGATTTGCAATGCCTGGTCCACTGTCCTCATCTGACAGATGACCTGAATGAGGACACTGCAGTCCCCACTTCCACATCCAACAGACAGTCTTAAGGAAAAGCCTGATAGACTTACAGCCTCACTCTGCCCATCTGCTAAGTCAAGACAATGCAACTGATCCCTCTTGTAAAGTAATCTGAGGGTTCAATATTACAGTCTGTGGAGTATCATAAAGACCAAAAAAAATCTCACAGATAGCTACAGTCTTATGGTAGAAATGCAGCTAGTACCTTAGCTAGCTTGGGTATTTTTACACCACACTTCACAAACAGCCTTTAAAATTTGTCTATGTAAGCACTTGATAAATTATATTGAAACCTAGGTAAGGTGAAGTAAGAATGGAAAAATATGTCTGTGACCTAAATACACACCCCTTTACAAGAACATCTGCTTAAAGGAATGCATAAGGACTGGGCAGTAAAGTTTATAATTGTAAAATAATGCTTTGTCTTTTCTATGATAACAAACCCAGCCTTAACTCTGCTGAGGTTTGAACTAATTACACAAAACCATAAATGACAGTTGCTATCAAGCAAAATCATGTTTCTTACAGACCTTAAACATCTGCTTAATGTATTTTCATTATATGAGAACTTCAGATGTGCAAACATTAACGAGTTGCTTATCAGTGACTTATAGAGCTACACCACTGTGTTCTTCTGGTTGGGTTCAATGAACAGAGACATGATTTAAAAAAACAAATAAACAAACAAACAAACATAAAAAACAAACTTGAAAAAACAACTCATTCCCCCCCAGAAAAACATTCCTCAAATAGGAGATTAGTCTTATTCATTGATTTCAAATACCAAACTAGTTTCTTCTAAATATCTGTTGATTATCTGTATGCATAGTAAAACCAGTCCAAAAAAAGGTAATGGTGCATTATTTAAAGCACCTCAGTATTGACAGTTTGTCTGATAAAAGCTGGTTTTGGAGGATAAAAATCTCAATCTGCCAGTCTTTGCTCTTTCTTATAGGATATATGGGGTTTTTTGCTCCCAATTCAGGAGCTTCTTAAAAATTCTGCTTCCATTCTTTGAAATTTCAAATTCCATGGAGCTTTGTTTGCCGGAAATGGATAGAAAAATTTTGTACCAATCAAAACCAAGTAATAGAGTAATGGAGACACTAACACTTCAGTATTAGGTTCTGCAGCATTTCCTTAAAAGAGTATCAAGTAATATTCATTCTATATTTGTCATGCAATGTTCATGTCATACATGAAGTTACAGAGTGCTTCAGGGACTTGTCTAAGACTACCCATCAAGTATATGGTTAAATTGAAACACTTCACCCTGATTTATCACTGCCTATATACACACTTTTTAAACTACAGCACTGTTGACCAAGGGAAATAAGTTTTCCGCTATAATTAATGCTAGCGAGATATATATGTTAGATTATACATAAACTTTATAGGCAATGTTGGGGTTTTTATATGGTTTCCTCTTGTGGCCTTTGCATATCTATATCCTTCCTCTAGGAGAAGATTAATAGAGTCTCTTCTATTAATACAATCATTTTATATTGGTAGGTGGTTTTGGCTATGCATTTCCTCCCCTTCCTGCTGTGTCAGTTGCCACCTTCATTTTGCATTGCCTACAGCCAACTGTGGCCCATGGTGTCATGGTGGCTGATTTAGCTTAGGTCCTTTTACAGGCCAGGTCTGCCACGGCTAACTAGCTGTTATCTGTCCAAACTGGAGCTCATGTTCATCTGCATGGTACAGATGACTCACTGGTATTTAGCTGGTTTTATTCAATCTGATAAGACTGATAATTCTTAGTACTGACTGTATTAGCAGAAATGTAATTCTTAATCAGGAGCAGGAGCTCTTGTTAACAGAATTTTTCATACCTTTCAAGTTTTATTTATCAGTCTGAGATAAAGGTTGAAACGTCACAGGAATGTCAGTAGTGGTGCAGTAACAACTGTGCTTCTCTAGCATGCACACATGCACTCTGGTACACTAATTTTGGATGTTGGAGACATTTATCCCCAGTTGTTTTATAACTTTGCATATGTTCACCAGAACTATCACCATGAATTAGCATAGCATGAACCAACAAAGTGGTTGAGTTACAGTGTCTGCATTGCAGGACAAAAGCACTAAACAACACTTTTAATGTGGGTAATAAAGAACAGTGCTATCAAATTAAGTTACTTCAGGAATTAAACTGGACAAAGTACAACAACTTCGGCTGGTATTTTGTCCTAATAGCAGAGTCAAGGATCCTGTCCAAGAGAAGTCTTATAGGATCCTCAGCAGCTGTAAATGGAAGGAATCTGGTTTTCAGTCTCATTTGTAAATTGTTCAGCCAGCAACACAGTGCCCCCTAAGCCATGCTTGGGCATCAGATTTGCTCCTATTTAAAGGAAAGTGATGTCTGACACACTATTTCTCCTGTCATTTTTTAGAAAAAGCAAGTAACAGTGAATGGGTTTGTTTGTTGGATTATTTTTTCCTCTTTGATTATTTTTATTTAAAAAAAAAGAGCCACACCTTAATTTGCATTAGGTAACTAGACCATCCTATGTCTTCTTCAGAAGTATCTAAAATTTAATGTTCTGTCAAAGGCAGTGGAGTAGGTTAGGGAAGGCTTTCAGTTATTTCTCTAAATCAGTCTTCTTACCTTTACAGTTAGGCAAAATGTCAAATATATGCCAAACTTTTAAATTAATTTTATATTTTTCCAAAAGACAAACAGTTACTATCATTCAGTAAAAGGATAATTAATGCAGAAGGAAGACTTCAGTGTTTTCACACAATTGTGTATGGTTGACTGCAGTACAGAAGTGAAGATTTGGAAATGTAGGAGCTATGCTTAGTGTCTTGGAATGAAAAATAAATTCTGTACCTTGAATAGAGGCAGTAGTTTTATCACCTGTGGATAATTTTACTTGTGTTTTCCATTGTATTTCTTTTGATTATGAAAAACTAATGGGGCATTGATGCACATGAAATTGAATTTACCCCAAACCCTAACCTGAACGATGAACTACATTGAAATATAAGAAATGTTCATACTGCTTTACTGAGATCCACTCAGAGAAATACATGCAGGCATCTACATTTACCACGTTTCATTGGTTTCTGTACCTTGTCCTTCTTGTATCTTGTCACTCATGTGCACAAAACCGACTCTCACAGGCACACACTGACACACACACAAACACACACACAGGTTCAGCACTATGTTGTTTTCAAAGATACACGTTAGTGAAGTCATCCAGAGGAACTCTTTGCTTACCGAAACACTCAGTTCTGGACGACTGACAGTTCAGTTGGTCAAAATGTAGTGTGAACTAAAGGTACATAGTAGTTTTTGTTCATTAAGAAAGGTATTGTTGAGGTGGGCTAGGGGGAAATTAAGAGAGGATTTATTTCTGGTTGTGCATTATTTACAGTGCCCTTTACAAAAAGTGAAGTTGGATATCTGCAGGAGGTCTTTTGCTGCAATTTCAATCTTCAGTTATCACATAACACTACAAGCATGGAAAAATAAAATAAAATAAATAAATAAATAAATAAATAACAAACCACAAAAAACAACCTGAAACTGCTATTCAAATATCAAGGTTAATGTTCTTCATACACAGTTCAACATAGCATGCTTTTTTATTGTACAGAAATGCTCACATATGTGAGTTGAGCTAAAGAATCTGCCTGCTGTCACCATTAAAATGCATCTGCACATTATCCCCATAAGTTAAGGAGCAGAACTGTAGGTATTGCAAACACGGTCACACACAAACACATATACAGAGCGCCGCTACCTTTCTATGCCTGTATTTTGCAGGTCCCTTTGCAACTGCTTCGGATAAGCAAACGCGTTTCTACAGCATCACAAGGGTAAGGCTTACGTACCAGCGGTAACTTTAACACAGACAAATTACAGGTTGTGGACCCGCTATGATAGCATTATTGCACAAAATATTTTGCGCTGCTTAAAAGGCTGTGTTAGCAGTACCGCTGTTCAGAAATATCCATGTTGCCACATATTAAAGTGTCATTTTATTTAAGCCTTACCTTGGCTGACTTGCCCTAACTGGTGACAAGGCACACTAATTTATAAGAAGCAAATGGGGACTTTTCGCAGTGCTAGCGGCACAGCTGCTCGCCGTCCTCAGAGAGGCACCCGGCTTCGCGTCCCTCGGAGCCCCCAGCCCCGCGCCGCGGATCCTGCAGCGCCGGCAGCCCGGGCGATTGGCCGCGCCGCCCGCCCCCCGCCCCGCTCCGCGCCCGCCCGCCTCGCCTCCCCGCCCGCCCCCGTCCTTCTCCCCTCCCCGCCCTGTTTTCCCCTTCTCCAGTACTTCGGGGCCGCACGCAGCCTCCTGCGCGTAATGGCAGATCCCGGCCAGCCCCTTCACTCGGACAGATGCGCGGTACATCCATCCATCCAGCCGTCCGTCCATTCGTCCTCCCATCTATCCTCCCATACCGATATAACCGCTGTGTTCGGGCACAGGAACATCTTTGTCCGGCAACTGCGCGGCGGCTGAGAAAACCCCCCCTTTCGTGCTCGAGCTGCAGAAGAAGGACGGCTCCGGCTTGGTGACAGCGAGCCCCTAAATTCGGTGCTGGGAAGGGGGGCCGGGGGCCGGGTGGGCTGCGCTGCTGAGCGGGCGGGAGTGCAGGGAAGGGGCGAACCACCGAAAGCGGGCAGTACGGCACTGCTGTGGCAAGCTGGCGATAAATTTTCCTATTTCTGTGCAAAGTCGTCACAGCCTGCTAAACATTCCACTGCCGGCTCGTTCATCAGCTGTCCACATGGTCCGGCGGTGGCTGTAAGATTCAGATTGAATGGTGCCCTTTAATGCCTCCTTCCAATCCTGATGGGGCACAGGAGGTGCCACATTGGCAAGCCAGCCCCTTCCAGATCAGCCCCACTCCTTTAAAGATTTCCTGCTCTCTAAGACCCCTATATTCATATTAGTACACCATTGGTTGTAAGTTGGTTGCTAATTTGTGCCCTTTCAGGCTGGTCTGGATCAAGGCAGGCTGGCTGATGCAGAAGTCATTCAAAAATCTGGACCTTGTGTAACATCTTTACTCTGAACACCCCTTATTCAGAATTAAGACTAATGGCATTCTCCTGATCCAGGGTTTCAGCAATGAGGCAACCGTGTCAGACTCTGCTATCTAACCTGCTAAGGCAGTGTATTAAAAATGCAATTAACATGCAAGTGAAAGCCCTGGCACATACCCCGCTGGTGCAAAGGAACCTTGCTTCCAGCCAGCAGAATGTGTACCCTGGAGTAAGCAATGAAACCAGAGCATGTGTAAGTCCCAAAGCTCTGGTAGGAAATGGCAGGATGGAAGAAAAGAAAGCTCCTGCTTTTTTTTTTTTTTTTTTATGTATTAAAGGTCAGAAGCAGCATCTGAAGTATAAATGATAGGTACCCCATGTACAAATGATCTGGATTTGAAAAGGAGAGCTGAAAAGAGGAATTCTACAATTTAACACAACCAGGAGGGAAGCTGTTACACCACACTGGATGGAAAGAACAACACTGCTCACCGAGACGACTTAGAGTGCTGGATTTTGAGAACTTTTCAAACAAAATCGCTCTGAGCTGCTCAGCAATATACATTAAAAATCATTTCTCTAGCAGGGCAGGGGACTGAAGGCAAAAGCAGCTAGTTGTTTGAATTTGGGGGATGTAAGCTCTTGGAGGGAATGAAATAGAAGCTGTTTCAGTTTGCTATTTATACATCCTCTGGCTTGCAACTGCAGCACATATGAATCAATGCTTTAATACACAGTCTTCAGAATGTTCTCTCTCATGCAACTTCTGTGAGGTTGTGCAAACCTCCAGATTCAGATCTCATAATCCGGGGGATGGGCTGCTTTTATCCAGATGCTTTCACTATTTTATTGCAGTATGGCAGAAGTAAATTTCAAATCTCCCTGTCGGGGAGATAGTTACATTAGTAAGGTGAAGGGGAGAAAAAGGAGGGGAAAAAAGGAAGGAAAAGACACACCTTCCCTTTCATTCTCTAAGGGTCCAGATAATTTCACATGAAAAAGAATTCATGTCAAACCATCCTCCAAAGATTCCCTCGTCAGTGCATGAAGTAAAAGAGAGAAAATATAGGGTTGCCTTTCAGCCTACCTACCATTACATCAAATGCTGCTTAGGTGTAACAACCCAAGGATGCAGCCGAAAACAACGTGTTTTATTTTAAGGTCTTTTCTCAGTAGGTTCCAGTGAATAAGACAGAATTATGAATATTCAGCAGATACTCAGAGCATAAGCCATCAGCTCATTTGTTTCTGCAATAAGAAATATGACAAGTAGAGGGAAGTCTTGATGCTCCAGAAAAGCATTTAAAAAGTGAAAATCTACAGTTCTTTTTTCTTATATATGTATACATATATATATATAAATAAATAGATGCCTGTACATTTGTATTGACGTATTTCAGAGACTTCTCACAAGCAGGAGTAAAGAATATCTGTGTAAAGAGATTATAACCGGTATTGCAGGCTAATTTGATATACAATGATCAAAGATTTTCTTAAGAATTCAAAATTATGCCATTTCAAGGAAGAAGCTGACAGTTTGAAAACATTAGCCTCAATGAACTCTGACATTTCTTTCAAGCATACATTTTAAGACTAAGTACTGAGATTTGGTGTTACTGGTGTTAGGTCGATCCTTTCATCAGTTTGAATGCTAAAAGAATCTGGATTTGTCATGGGGACAGAAAGACTCAAGAAAAGAACCTCAAAATGAAGTTACTGTCTGAGACTGCAGCAGTATGGCCAAAGGAATTCCAGGGAAATTTGGGTATAACCCTTTGTGTGCATAGTTTTACCTTAGGAATTCGTCAGACTTACACAATTCTAGCAGTGTATCAAAACACAGAACTTTGCCAATCACATTCAGTAAGTCCCCTTCCTAGACTTGAGAGTTTGTGACAATTATTAGAGGGGTAGAAAAAAAGAAGGGGCTCTTTTTGTACCTTCTAATTTGTGGACTTGCTATATGTTTAAGAGCACTACTGAAGAGGTAGAGTAGTTATGAAGGAGCATATATAGCTGTACCAAAAAGAAACCAGTTTCTACAGATTTAAAAAATAAAACATTATTATTTTGCTGTTTCAGTCAATAATTTAAAGGATATACCCACAAAATCAGTCTCTCTTTGTTGGTTCTTAATATGCTAAACATGTATTGATCATCTTGCAGGTAACTGCTAGAGAACTAATCATCCAGCTAACATTCAACCAGCTATAAAAAGACTAAGTGGTTCATTAATACATAACGTAATGAAGATTCCAGGTCATGTATAGATTATAAAGTTCCTGTACCCAAGATAGATATGTTAGGAATGGCTAAGATCATATTGGGATAAGGATGTTGCCAAGTTCAAGTCCAACTCTTCCTTGTTCTTAGACACGTGTACTCTAATAGCTGCAGTCGAAGAAAATTAGCTCAGTTGCTGCCAAGAACCTCTGCTCACACACAGAGAGAAATCATACTGGGAATTTTCATGCTGTTATTCAAAAGCACCAGGGAATAACATAGTTACCCCCACTGCCAGCAGCAACTTTCCAGTCTTACAAACAAATTACAAACTGCTTCCCTTTTTCCTAGATTGAAAGGATAAAAACAAAGGATTCTACCATTGCCTGCCACCAATTTTACATTCACAAATCATTATTTTTATTCTCAGCTCCAGTGCATAACAACCAGTCCCAGTAATATGTCTGAGAACACTGACACTCCCTTCAATCTCTGTTTCTCCTCTTATTAGATAAAACCTTTTTATTTGCAGTTATTACTTAATAAATATTTTTACAACTACCACTGAAATGAATTGTCCTAAAAGTTCGTATATGATTCACTAATGACAGTTATTTAGAAACTATCATCTAAAAATGTATATCAATAATTGGAATTAACAATTTTACTAAAAGTAATAAAACATAAGTATGCAAAAATAATTTTGAAATCAAATGCATTCACAGTACTGTTGCATTTCTATCTTTGGATTTCTAACAGATAACCATAACAAAGTAGATCACAGCAGTCAAATTTTTCATTTGCTGATACAAAATGGTGGGACAGAAATTTTTAACTATTCTAGTGGATGAACGCACAACTGAGCCTTCTTCATGTTTCTAATGAAGGCTTTCTGGAGGGCTCCCAGATAATGACTCTACTGTATTTTTATTTTTATTTTTAATTTTTTTTTTAATTTGGTAATTGGCAGAAATATTCAGAGGGAGTGGGTTTAAGGCAATTCATTTTGCATATGATCTCTCTGAATATTCTGTAAGGCCTGCATTTCCTCTAAAAAATTAAAATAGTCGATTAGAAAAAGTAAATTTTTAATACAGGTTAGCAAATTCTGCACAATACTAATTGCAGAGGCAACAGCACTGCTGATATTGTCTTGGCTCCTTCTACACTAAGCATCACTGGAGTATTTTCTAATAAAACAACAACAGCTGTTCCTAGATATATGATGCCAATAACAGTTGCCAGTCACAGAAAACTTGTGATAATATAGTCACTTGCCTTTAGTATTGCATGAAATGGCAGGTAAAATATGCTGACAGGACTTTAAGAAAACAACATAATACCTGGCATTTTGCTACCTGTTACCATAAAACTGAGCTAATCAGTCCCTCTCTGAATGCAGGAAAGCACAGAAAAAAATATAAAGGGCCATGGTGTGTCAGTCTCTGCATCACAACAGCAAGGGAAAGACAAGAAAGAAGACTCAGCTGAAGGCAATGAAGTGATCGACTCAGACATTGGTAGATCTTTCTGCCCATCCTGTGGAATTTCACACTAGTACATATAATACACACTATTCAATCAAGAAACTTGCTTAATTGGGATGTTTCCTAGGAAACTATATAACTCTGTAACTGCAGATCATATAGTGACCAGTATAAAATGGGATGCTTCTCAGTAACTGTATAATGTTTATGTTTAAAAGGCGGCATTTTTGTAAGTTTAACTCTGGTAATAAAATATTCTGATGTTCCTGAAACTAGTATGGGCAAAACTAAACTATTTTTCATTCACAGGCCGCTATTGGATCCTCGACAAGGTTCTCTCCGGATTTTCGCAAATGGTTATTTAGATATTCTATATATAAAACATCAGATACAAATATGTCCTATTTTAAAT